CCAGAATTTATAGCTTTTGATACTTCTTGTCATTGTTATTAACTTATTTATAAGGTTAAGCAAGAACTAGTAAATATTAGACCTCATATTCAAATCTGATTAAAGTGTCTGCATAAATCACACAGATCACAAACACACACACCACCCTTCTAGCCCTATTCTCCAGCCTGACTCTTTTACTTACCAACCCTCCCAGTAGTTGGCATGCAGCAACACCATTTATCAACTTACCATCATCACTTGGGATAAAGTCAGGGCTGTCTTCTCTTAGAAAGCAGGTAAAATTCTTCAGCAGCAGACCAAAAGCCAAGAGATGTGAATTCTATTTCTAGTTTCATTTTTAAATGACTTCCACGTCACTTAAACAAACTCATGGATAATCATGGATATACATCTATTCAATAGAATATATGACCAGCTTACAGAATATACAGTGCTGTAAATTTCATGAGAAAAGCATTCAATCCTTTAACAACTGTTACACTGGATACATATGAAAAACTCAAATGTATGCTATAACTGTCGAGTAATATTTTCCTCATGATAATAATATATAATAATTTCTTGAGAATTGTGATAATATAAGAATTATGTTGTGCTGGTAATTTGATAAATGTATTCAAAATGCTTTATTTAGCATTAGTTTTAAGGCACATGGAGAACAATAAAAAGCCTGCAGCTGATGTTTTACATATGATCAGAATATAAAACATCCAGTGAGAAAGGTTAGAAATAGTAAAAATACAATATCTAAATTTTATTATAAGAAACCAGTGGCCACAAATTTTAATATCATAATAATTTTAAGCATATATATATATATATATATAGACATACATATACATTCCTTAAAATTGTGCTCTTAAAATACATGTTTATGTGTACACCTATTTATATTTATATAGATATGTGTATATTTCTGTCTTTACCTAGATATATAAACATGTATGCATTCTCTCTCCTCTCTCTCCCCCTCCCCCTCCACCCCCCAACACACACACACACACACACACACACACACTTATATATACAACCATAAATCCTAAAGAGATAGGCTTTAATCCTTTCAAATTAGAAAATATTCAGGGTGAAGGAAGAAAGCAGTTGCTATTTTTAAATAGTCATTACATACCACATGCACTGCCTACCCCTACCCTCCTCATTGATATTCTCTCAGTAACGGTTTTCACGCCCATAGTTTTCACAAGTCTCTGATGGCTCCCTCTCTTCTCTAGCTTCAGCCTGAATCCTTCTCCAGAACTTCCAACTTGTGTATCTGAAGACTAACGGACAGTAATACGTAGCTTGGAAGTAAAGCACCAGATACCGTGGCTTGACTATTGGCTCCACTGTTTCCAAATTATGTGTCTGGGTGTTTCATGTCACTTCAAACCTATGGATTACAGAGGGGCCACGGTAAACCTATGACCCCATGGGCAGTTTCCTATCACCAGGTGACTGAGAAAGAAAGAAATCAGATGTGGTTCTGCAAAACCTGCTGGCTACACCTGAAAGTGGACTAAGCTTCAGCAATGTAGTTTCAGTCCAGGTTGGCCCTGAAGAAAAAGGGGTATCTGCCTAGTGGGCAGTACATTAAATAGTGTATGCAGCTGTTCATTTGCTTGGAAGGAGAAATGACCAAAGGTAAAATTCTACACTACACCACAAATACCAGCTAAAGGGTGGCAGGCTGGTCAAGGAATTAGAAGGAATGCTATTGGAAAATTGGTGACAAGAAGTCTGGAAAAATGGACTCCTCTAAATGTGCACAGAGTGGAAAGATATTCATGTACTATTGAAATACTCACCAAAAGGATACTCAGCAGAGGAGTATCTAATAATCAGGTAGACAAGATGAGCAATCCTCATGGTTCTCTCTCTCTCTGCCATTCCGGGCTTTCACAATGGCGCAAAGACAAAATGGTCATGACGACAGGGATGGAGGCTATGTGAGGGCTCAACAAGGTGGACTTGTACTCACAAAGGCCAGTCTGTCTGTAGCCACTGCTGAGAGTCAGCCCCATCTACCAAATGGACAGATCAACACTGCACCTCCATTTGGCACCCTTCCTCGGGGGAGGGGACAGATTCAGGCAGCCATCAGTGTCAGGACAATTTCATTGGACCATTTCCATCATGGAAAGGGTGGCACTTTGTTCTCACTTGAATACAGTTACTAACGGTGTAGATATTTCCTCTCTCTCCGTGACTTTTCTGTGAATACCTTCATCCACGAACTTGCAAAATGCTTTATTTAACAGCATGGTACACAAAAGAGCACTGATTCTGACCAAGTTATTTTACAGCAAATGAAGTACAGCTCATGGTTATGGGAGGCACGAATCTTGCCATGTTTTCCATCACTGATAGGATGGTGTAACGACCTCTTGAAATGTTAGTTACAGCCACAGCTGGATAATACCACATTGCAAGGCTGAGGCAATGTCTTCAGGATGTTGGATATGCTCTAAATAACTGACAACTACATGGTGATATTTTACTCTGAGCCAGGATTTAGGACTGGGAATTAAAGAGGTCGATATGGGAGTGGCTTCTCCACAATTAGCCCTAGTGATCCATGAGAGAAATGTCTGTCTTCTCTTCCCATGACTTTGGCTGTGCTGGTCTAACAATATTAGACTTAATCTAGGGATCACAGCAATGGTTCCATTAAACTTGAAGTTGAGAATGCCACCTTTCCATGGGCCGAAGGACTTTGTGTTCTTTGGGGAGGGTTACTGAGTTAGTTTTATGAGGAAAAGTTGTATCATGTTAGGTGGAAGCATGTTTTTGCAACTGTCTTTTTTTTTTAAATATAGGTATGACTAGAAAAAAATGTTCACTGATGTCATGCTGACAAGAGGTGGATTACTGAGGCTTCTAAGTGTGGGCTTAGCTCAGCATTAGTTCTATTTCCCACTATTAATCCTATATTCTATACTGCTCATCGTGGTTCTGCCTCTCTGATTAAACCCTGAATAATACAACTAGTATAAGAATACATAAAAAGCTTCTACAAATGAGTAAAACAAACAACTGAATAGAAAATTGGCAAAAGAAAACCAAGAGAAAAGTTGCACAAAAGAAAAAAAAAGTTAACACAGGATGATCAACCTCATCAGTAATCAGGGAATTACAGGTTAAAACATGAGCTACTATTGCACACTCATCAAAGTACCAAAGAATAAAATGGATGAAAACTCTGAGGAGGAGCCTGGATGTAGAACAAGAGGAAGTTGTATGCATTGCTTATTATATAATTATTATATTATTAGTAATATAAATAATGTTAACTATTTAACCACTATGGGAATAATTTAGCAACACTGGAAAACCTGACAATGGGCATTCCCTAAGACTTACACATTCTAAACCTAGGAAGGGTCCTAGAGAAACTTTCATATAGTAAGAATTGGTTGGAAAATGCAATGTCCTTTATCTAGAGAATAACGATATTTATATTTGGAATTGGGAATAAGACACTTACTATGAAGTTAGTCATTTAGGAGAAAGAGGTGGTCTCTATAGCCAACTGTGGTAGGTAGCCTATAAGATAACCCCCAATGATCCCTGCCTTCAGGGAATCATGCCCTTGAATAACCTCTTCCCTCTTGTATGGCCTTGGTTCTCCCTCACTTCCAGTGGGGGGTGGAGGGGCGGGAACACACACACACACACACACACACACACACACACACACACGGTGGAAGTGACAGAATGTGACTTGCAAGAATAGGTTATAAAAAGACTGTGACTTCTTTCTTGGGTACCCTCTTTTACTCCAAGGGATGCCAGCTATTACATTGTGAGCTGCCCTATGGAGAAACCCACAAAACAAGGAACTGGTATCTCCAGCCAATATCCAGCGAGGGCCAGAGGAAAATCTACAGCCATATTAGAGAGTCCAGATATAGATCCTCGCCCAGTCGTGGCCTGAGATGATTACAGGCCCGACACTGTGACTGCAGAAGTGTGAGATGCTGTTCCGGAGGCATCCAGCTAAGTCATCCACAGATTCTTGACCCAGAGAAACTGTGAGATAATGCTTATTGTTTTAAGCCATGGAGTTTGGGGTAATTTGTAAAATAGTAAAAGATAAACTAATATGACCTCCTATAATCATTGCGAGCCCACAGTGGTAAACAAATTCATCATTTTCAGACTAACGGGGACTCTGAATTATTTAAAGTCACACATTAATTCAACCAATAATTACCGAAGACCTAATCTATCAGGCTCTGTTGCAGAGACAAAGTCATAAAAGAAAGAGTCTCCAAGTATGCTTTTATGGAGTATTGCACACAGATAATAAACAATACATCTTATGCCAGATGATGCTAATTGCTACGGAGGAAAATAAAGCAAGGAAGTAGGAAAGACAAAGCCTGCTCTAAGTCGGGGTTGCAATTTTAAAAAAGGTAGTCAAAGGCCTTCCCTCAAAAGATGACATGTGAACAAAACCCTGAAAAGTGTGATGGAGTGAGTCACAAAGGATCTGCAGAAAATGCTTTCTGAACAGACTGAAGAGCAAATGGAAAAGTCTTGATGCAGGAGTGAAAGTGAACTGTACAGCATTTTAAGTGGCCCATGTACCTCTAATGGATGTTAGCTTTAACTCTGAAGTGAAAGAGGAGTAAGTGGGTTTTGAAAAAAGGAGTGATATTAGTAGACTAATTTTTTTAAATGATCATTTTGACTACTGTGCTTAAAAAAGATTGTGTGTGGTGAGGTAGAGGGGGCAGGCTTGGGGGGACATCGAGTATAGAAACAGGGAGACCAACTAAAAGTTTTCACGATAATCCCAGTGAGTATGGTGGTTCAGACCAGGGAGAGAGAGATGAAGGACGTGATAAATGATCAGGTCACAAATATGTTTTAAGGAGGATTCAATAGGATTTTCCAGACAAATTAATTCACAAGGTACATATGTGTGTGTATCTACTGAAGGATAACTAGTGTAAATCATTAAGCCAGAAGAATACATGTTTTATTAATTCTACTTTCAAATATTTGTTATTCATAACCCCCTGTAAGGTATATCCAATGTTACAGCCTTGCTTCCAGGCACCAAAATGACTACTTCCAATGACTTTTTAAAGGTTTCAAATGTATTTTAATTTTCCAATTATGCTATATTTAGACGAGCAGCAGAGTGCTCAAATGACAAGCTGGTGTTGAGACAATTCTGTGTTACAGCAACTGTGATGGTTACTCATCATTCCACTCTTTGGGGGTGACTCTGCCAACAGGGGACAGGTTCCATTCTATTCCAGTCTGCGTGGTTGCAAATATCCATGCAACAACACAGAAGGTGGCTCCACCGGCTAGTACAGCGTTACCATATTTGTCATGAAAATCTGGGGAGTGTTTCCTGTGGCTCTGTCTTGCCCTAATTTGCTGAATGCTTAGACTCTTGAGACTTCTCAATGCATTTCTAGCCAAGGGAAACATCATGAAGGTGTGACAGGATTGCAGTTGCTTGCAGCTGTTGGTCTATTTCCTTGCAAAAAGACCTGGAAAAACAAAAGATGAGCAATGACAGCTGATCTGCATTCATTTCATCTCTCTTTGAATGTTTTGCCCACACCACCTCTTGGTGTGTGTGGCCAGGCATGTGAGTTTTGATATCATATCTGGACTTGCGTCTCAGCTGATTAGCTGTGAACCAGAACAGTTATTTAATCTCTCTCTTTGCCTTAGTTTCTTCAATGGCAAACTGAGACAACAATGTCCAACTCCAAACGGAGCTGTGATAATCCATAACCACCACCACCACAGGAGTAAGTACACAGTAAATGCTAGCTTTGCTATTCTTCACCAACAGCCAACAGCTTGTTCCCGAGATAGACTCCAAACTCATCATCATGGCTGATAACACGGCTTAAATGGCTACAATTCCCAACTTGTTCCACTAGGCCTATGTCTCCTATAAGCTCTAATTTCAGTGAGAATTACAAGGCATTCACAGAGCATGTCACATCTCTTCCTGCTGCTCCTGCTCCTTTCTTCCCTTCCTCCTAAACCCCTTCTTCTCCTTCTCTACCTGTAATTCCTGTTTCACCTTCCTACAGGTAAAATCTTACTTGTCTTTTAAATCCCAGTCTAACAGTCACTGCCTCTATGAAGTCCTCTCCCTAGGCTGAATAAGCCCTCTTTTTTCTAGGCTACTACATTTAAAACCCTTCTTTCACAACATGATGCATTGGCTTCACCATTTTAACACTATTTTTTAGAGCTGTTTTGGGTTCACAGCAAAATTGAGTAGAAAGTACAGAGTCCCCACGTACACCCTGACTGCACACATGCCTAGTTTCTCCCTCCTGCACCAGCGTAGTGCATGTGTTACTATCAGTGAACCTACATAACAGTCTTTTATCAGATATGTCCTTTGCAAATATTTCCTCCCAGTCTGTGGCTTGTCTTGTCATTCTTTTGAGGAATCATCATTGTATGCTCCTCCAGCAGACTGCAAGGTCCTCAAGAGCAAGAGATGTAACTTTGCACACACTGTAGCTTACACAAAAGCACAGAAACAACTTTTTTGAGCCAGTGTGAAATACAAATAAATATTGGTATCCTCATAAGTTAAACTAAACTTGAGAACAAGTTAAAAAGTATGAAATCCAACGTACATGTTACAATAGCTCTAATAATTTCATTTTTTAAACAGACAGTTATACTGAACAAAAGATCCAGAAGCAGAAACACATGGAGGAGTTCTGATAATTTCTCTTTTTTGTGCAAGCTGTCAAACAGCGCTCTCTCTGTCTCTAGCAATGGCATATGTTAGTTAACTGTGGCTCAAATGCAAGCAAAATGGATACAAAAGGGCCTGAGGTCATCAGTACTTGTAAACTTATAACCATTCACCAAGATTTGCCAACTCAGATGATTTCATTTCCAACTTAGAAAACAAGACCCTAAGGTTCTCTTTTATTTCCTACCAGATGGTAAAGTGGTACTTTTCATGATTGTGACAAACAGGGCAAAAACAAACCCAAATGCATTTCTTCTGAGGTTCCCAATATTCAGGGTGTTTTTCCTGTTAGTCACGAATCTCTCCACCAAAAGGCACCGTGGTTTTAATTGGTATTGAATTCTGAGAGTAGGCTGAAGGTGAAATGGGTCAGGATATGACAGGTGCAGCCTTAATCCAATACCAAAGCACTTGTGCCACACACAGCTTTCAGTCTCTAGGAAGGCACAAAAGCAGAGAATAATTTGTGATAATAGGGATCTCTTGTGGGTCATTGACTCATTCTTGCTGCTTTATGACAAATTGATTTCATAATTCCTATCCTCATGTTAAACTGAAACTCAGAGACTCTGTCTCTAGTGACACTGATCACATCCCTTTGTAGATTAGCTCATCCTTTGGCTATTCCCATATCTGTGAGGCTTTCCTTTTCCACCTAGCATTAATTTTCCTGTTCCAAGAAGTTACCATTAATAGGAATTTCCCTTTAGGAACTCTTTTTGTAGTTTGTAGTTGCCATTTCATCCTATAAAAACATAATGCAGGGTTTTCATTCCTGTTTTGTTTTTCCTTGTCAGCATCAGCTACATCTGTGTCAGTTGCTTTTATAAATACCTTATATATAGTTTTGTTTGTAAGACTAGGAACCCACTGATTAGAGAAATTTTCCATACTGCTGAACTCCACATGACGTACTTCCACAATAAATGTTATGTTATTGGGGAGGCCTAAGCCTATTACCAAAAGAACTGAAGCTGCAGGTTCTAATATCCATATGAAAACATAAAAAAGAAAATTCACGAATAAAATGCAGGTAACAAAAGCATTTCTTAAAGTAGATGTTTTCTGATGAAAACAGACTACAAAAGGATGGAAGAGGACAGATTTCTCCAGGAAATAAGAACAAAGTAGAGGTTCTCTCATGCCTGTGGCAATAAAAGAAATATGTTCTGAATAAATATAAATAGTTCAAGGGAATGGAGTAATTTGTGAGGATGAAAGGAAAAGACGGATGTGTCATCTATTTTATATAATAATTTCGAAGCTCAGTTCAAGAAAAACAACCGATACTAGACCTCAATCTAACTGCAATAAGGAGATATATAGATTTGGAGCTTCAGTGGTAACAATAATAATTTCAAATCACTAACGGCCATGAAAAGAAGTAAAGGAGTAATGCAGAAAGAAAACTAATATTTATTGAATACATGCAAGAATTTTACACAGCTTCAAAAATGGTGTGAAATGGGACTTATTTATTAGCTTATATAGAAGAACAAATGACAGGACAAGATGTGAACTCGAGTTCTCTAATTCTAAATCCAGCGCATTTTTCAATTCTAGTATATTTTCTTATTGGAAGCAAATAAATGAAACAAACAAACAAAAAAATGCAGTGTGGTTACCGGAGATGGTCTTTTACTTGAATGTGGTTCAGTTCAGTTTACCATGGCCCTGGCTGAGTCGGCGGTAGCATGCCTCCCCTGGAGAATTGTGGCAGAGGGAGGGAATGAACAGAGCCACTGTCCTCCAGGAGGGGACAGGCTGGTAAGGACAGAGTGCCCTTAACCCATAGAGGAGAGGGACATTTCAACCTGGAGTTCTAGTTCTGGTTTTAGAGGAAGTGGTGCCTAGGCTACATCTTGAAGGGTGATTAAAAAATAGAAAAAAAGCAAAGCAGCAGGAGGTGAGGAAGCTCTGAGGGCTGAAGGAGAACGGGGGCAGGGCACGGATAGCCTGCGGGATGACGAAAGAGGGCACATTCGGGCTTCGGATGCCTTGCACTGGCATTTGGACTCAATTCTACAGGTCAGTCAGTATTTCTCACTGTTGGGAAAACAGTCTTCAAAACCTTTTTCTGTGCGTTAACAATGAAAATTCTTATTTCCATTTTTACGTTCACAATAATATAAAAGAAGTATAATATAAGAAAATCATGTGAGACCTGAATGATGCAGCTTATCAATCTCTAGTGCCTGTGTTTATCTCTGGTCTACATTTTTGTTACACTTAGTGTACAACATTTATTTGTCCTGGGCTAATGTGAAAAGAATGGAGGGAGCTATTTAAATAATGTGTTCAAGCCAAGACAAGGTGAAGAATTAGACAAATTGAGTCATGCCACAGCTTACTATATATCACAGGTATTTGAAAATAAAACAATTTATAGCCACTGAAAGCTGTGTTGAAGTTTCAGGACAATATTAACTGCCACAATGAAGTAATACTGAAAATTTGAATTTTGTTTGTTGTACAGTTTGGTTCATTTTTCACTTGAAAATATGCTTTGGTTTCATAGCTGTATTAAGCTTTAAACATAAAGAGGAAGAATTTGTTTTATGTTTATACATATATTAGTGATTTTATAATAAAATAACTTAAGATGGTACAAGTGATATGAAATAATTTGCTTCCCCTTTAAAAACATCCCATATGTAATGCAAGTTTGAGAAACACTCTTATAGATAAGAAGAAATTTCCAGTTGGTTTAATCAGGAAAAGGCTGAGGTGGGAGAAAATCCGAGAGAAAAAGTACTTTACAAAGATAATTGTTAGGTGGAGAATGGGTGGGAAGCTGGCCCACGTGGCACGGAAGTTGGGAGGTTAGCTAAACGTTTGTTTCAAAGATTTAGGAAAAAGATGATGAGGATCTGAATTGAGTACTGATAACAGATGAAAAGGAGAGAGAACTGAGAATTAGAAAACAAAACCAGACTGATTGGGAAAATAAGTTATCTAAGTAAATTGAGCACTCCATTCACTTTAAACTCTGGGTTAAGATTTTGACCAGAAACTCTGTTGCATGTTCTGTTAAAAATCAGCAGACAATGACACCTTAGCTTGCAGCTGACCCCAGGCAATTAGAGTTTGGGTGATCTCGGTGCAAAATGCAGCAAGGTCAAAGCAGACAGAATTGAAGTGCTCCAGAAATAGGGAGTCTAGATGCCTGAGTGGAAGAAGGGGAAAGGATCCAAAAAGGATTTACTGATTTACAGTGTGGTCCTAAGGGAAAAAAAAAAAAAAAAAAGAAAATCAACTTCATCCAGTCTAAGCACAGCTTAACAGAGACCAGTAAATGACCTGCTCAGCTTTGATACATGCTTTCTATATGGTATCAAGAAGAAAATCAAAGGCTGTGTCTTGCGTCTCAAATGTGTCCAGATATTCCTGTTCATCATTTCACAGGGAGATGATGGTCAGGAAGGGATTATGTGAATACCAGTTTCCCATCCTGGATACTGGTATTTTGGTCCAAGGAATTCTTTGGTGTGTGTGTGTGTGTGTGTGTGTGTGTGTGTGTGTGTGTGTGTGTGTGTGGTGGGGCGAGGGGGGTCCTCTGCAACACAGGGTGTTCAGCAGCATCCCAACCGCTATACACTACACAGAAGCCAGTACCTCCCTCAGCTCAGCTGTGACACCAAAAATGTATCTACAGACATTGCCAAATGTCACCTGTGAGCAAACTCGTCCCTGGTTAGGAATCAATGTTGTATACAGCGCACAGTGTCCCCTGTCACTTCTCCAATCATCTTGTAA